AATTATTACAAAGATCTCAAAATTTTGTAGTTGACACACCAGATGGATCTCTTGATTTAGAGGTAGCTTTACGATTTGAACGAATGAATGCTGCAGAGAAATCTACATCCCGAACTAAAGGTCGACTTACCCGATGGACAAATGCATGCCGAAAAATACATAGTGTACCGTTAAAGCTAGCCGCTGATTATTTGATTTTGATATTTATTGAGAAAAAAAAAATATTATTTTTTTAAGATAAACCTTACATTTTTATTTATTTTAGTTTTATATACTGCACTTGGTTGCGTTACAATTTTTTGATTTGTGTTTCTTCTTTTTTTTTTATTTATTTATTTTTTTTTTTAAATAAAAATTCTTTTAGGTTTCACACTTTTTCTATCTTTTGTAAAAATACTATTTCTAATTTATTTCGATCATTTTTGTCGTTCTAATATTATAAGTTAAAAAAATATATATTATATACCATTTAATTCTACTTGTAACATAAAATAATTCTGCCTGAAAGACGAAGTCCCCCCGAAAACTTCTTATAAAATTCATTAAATTAAATCTAACTTTCGCCACCGGAAACAGCGTATCCGTTTCCTTTATTGTTACTAGCAAAGTAATTAGATCAAACTAAGCAACTTATAAGGTAAATTCCATCAAAAGAAAATAAATTTTTGCGTGAAATTCTGCTGCGCCGTAAATTTTTTGACAAATACGAAAACATAATAGTATACCAAAGTTTAGAGATTCCTAAAGTTACATTGAAATATGGTTACTTGCTTTAATTATTCATTACTCAATTTCTTATATCAAATATAAATTCTTATGGACACTATAACCTGTCTGGTATCAGATTATTAGGTGATGTGAGACTCTCTGTATAATGAGCTTTTTAATTACTTAAAAAAGTTATAAATCTCTATCTGTCCAACAAAATTTAAAGCTAGTATCAAATGGAGATTTATTTGTACGTAAATTTCAATGAGTCAGTCGAAATCCTTGTTAATGCAATAATTTAATAATTTAGCAAAATAATACATAATGTACAGCATTACCTGGAGAAATTCAACGTTCCATCGTCGACGCCATCACCCGAAGTGACCCAAGCCGAAAAGAAAAAAAAAAAAAAAATGAACAAACTAATATAAAAATGATTGATCATCGCGGCCCGACCCGAAAAAAAATTACCACAAAATAAAAGAAACGATTCAAAAAAAATAAATAAATACATAATAAACCTGTTCCTCTATTTACACAAGATATAAACGTTATAAAAAAGCTCTAAAGCTGGATTCTGAACTAGAAATATATACTAAAAAATTCTTCTTTGACGCAGTAAAACATTTTCGAGTAATTAGACTAACTTCTATCGAAGCAAAATAATATTAAAGGAATTGATAATTATAATATAATATATTATATCACATAAATACTAATTAATAAATTTAATAAATCGTTTAAAAAAAAAAATAGATCGCTGTAACCCGAAGCGATCGAAAAGGAAGATAAGAATTAATAAATAAATAAATAAACAAAAGTCCTAGTGAAAAGATAAGAATTAACGTTAAAGAAATCTTACGTTCGCTGCTGAAGCGACCGACTTTATCATTTATTTTTAATATAAAAAAAAAATCAATTTTTTTCCACTTTTTTTTTAAACAGATTTAAGTTAGATGAAATTTTTCGAAAAAAATTTATTTTTATTACGTAAATAAAAAAATCGTCATAAAGCATATAAGAATGGCAGAATTTCCAGTAACTAAATTGCGTAAAAAGGAACATAAAATAAGTAAATGATACATTCTTTCTTTTTGCTAATTAAACCATTGAATAGCTTATACAATAAATTAGCATTATCGGTTCTTAATAAATTATATGTTCTCTCACTTCAAAACATTTTATCTTAATGTTACACCAAGAAAAATGTGTCGCTAATCTAGTACGACATAAGTTTATGTTATACAAGACTGCATTTCATTGTTTAGTATGTATTACAATGCGTTTAAACCGTTTATTTTATTTTTTATTTAATTCTTTGTAACCATCTTTTGCTATGTCAAAGAATTTTTCAATATATATTGTATTATGGCTTTTAATTCAATTATTAATTGAAATAAATTGCCAAACAGCTACACTTATTGATGATAAATTATATATCGTGGACGGAAGAAATTTTAATAAAAAATTTATTTACCTTGATGTGTCTATTCCATTTAATACTCAAAATATATTATGGCATGAATTGACGACCATTGTTCCAGAACATGTTGCTGCTGCTTCTGTTAAAGGTGGTGCAAATAATAAAACCTTGTTTTTATATGGAGGAACAGCTTATAATGGTGCAGTAATGGCTTTAGTTTATGCATTTAATACTCAAAATAATTCATGGAGTATTCCAAAATTACCTGAAGGGATTATTATGAGAAGAGATAATTTAAAAGGCATCGTTGATGATAAGGGGTTAATGTATTTGTTCGGAGGACGCTTAGACGGAGTTCGTTATAATGATATGTTTATTTTAGATACAATTAATTTAGATGTTAAAATAGGAAGTTCCATTAATGCACCTTCTCCTAGAAGTCTTTATGGAGCTGCTTTATTATCAAATCACTTCATTATTTATTTAGGTAAGAAAAGTAATCTGTACGACAATATATTATCGATTCACAATTATTTTTATAAACATTTATTATTTAGGTGGTTTGGGTAATGATGGAGTTAAAGCATCTTTAAAAAAGGTGAATTAAAACTAAAAATAATTATAAATTATAAGAAAACTAATCTTTTGTTTTAATTAATAAATTTTAGGTCAACTTATATGACACTATCAATAATAGCTGGAGTACTCAAGTAAATTTATTATAATAATTTCTTTACTAGTCAAACATTTTTAACTAATATTGATAATTTAAATTAGATAACATCGGGTACGATTCCTTCTGATAGATATGCTCTTTCTGCTGTTCTTGGTAAATGCCATATTTAATAACATATTATTAATATGATTGAATTATAATTAATAAATGCTTTTCTATATAAGGATTGGATGGGCAACGAATAATAATTTTTGGAGGTATTGGACTCCAAGATTCGCTTTATGTTTTAGACATCATAAATTACGAATGGCAACTTCCCAAAACTACTGGAAAAAGTCCAAGTTCCAGACGATGGCATCAAGCAAATGTAATTGGAAAATATATGGTTATATCATTTGGTAAATATACTGAATGTTTTTATTTATGCAATATATTATAAATAAGTAATTATTACAATTAATTAATTAGGAGAAGGATATGACCCAAATATAGAAAATGATATTTTATTACTTGATATTAGTAATAATGAAGAATTTGTTTGGACGAACGAATTTGAACTAATGTTTATAACAACTGATCCTTCACCACCAAATGGTACATCAACAGCAGGTACACTATCAATATCATCAATGATTGGTATATCTATAGGATCATTAGTCGGTGGTATTTTACTATTATTTGGAGGTTTCTTTTTATATAAATGGAATAAAAATAAACAACTTCTGCTTAGAGCATAAACAATTATAGATGAGAAACTATTAATAGACAATCAAGATCTGAAAATTACAAAAATCAACAAAATATTAAAATTGAAAATTTTAAAAAATTTCAGATTAACTTCTTATCAAATTTGTTACATGATTATAATAAAGTTCTGAAATATATCAATTTATCACTATATGACAAAAATAATATTAGTAGAAAAAAGGAAAATCTGAATTTTTTTATTTGGTTTACTTGACTAATTACAGTTATATGCTTAAAATTAACTTAAGAACTAAAATTAGCAAAAATTTCAGATTCTTATTGATTAGTGTCTATTATACAATATAATCAATTTATTCAGTTTAAGTTTATGAAAAGCTGAGTGTAATAGAATTAATTTACCTCTTTTAATATATAATAAATGTTATAATAAATTATTAGCAATATTATTAAACTCTCATTAAATATCATTTAATAAAGTAAAAAATAAATTTAAAAGGGTATAATTACAAGTTATTTATTTATTAAATAAAATAATTTTGGCAAATGATGAAATTTGGATTAAATAATCAACAGCTGATTATTAACATTGTAATAGGTAAAATTTTAGATAGATTTAATTGATTAATTAAGAAGTTAATTTTATTGTTATGTAAATCTTTAAGAAGATTATTTTGTCTATTTTATTACCATTGATTATTATATAAATTCCTAAATGTTAATTTTATTTTATTGCCTTTGATAATTATGTAGATCATAAATGTCCATTTAGTTGCCTACAGATCTGGTAATTTTATTGATATAGCAACTTTATTGTCTAGTAATGAGATAACTTTATTTTCTTTAATATATTTAATTAAGTTCATTTTATTATTTATTTAATATATACTAATATTTCTGTATTTTTTTTGAGTCTCAACACTAATGAGATAATAATCTTTTAGGTACAAAACTTACATATTATATTAATAAAGGAATATAATTAACCAAGTATAAAACTTATCTTTTACAATCCTTTTAAAACTGTTATAAATAAATTGTGACCCTTTTACATTTGAGTAATCCCTTTTATTATTGTTAGCAAATCTTATTATATAATATTATATTAATTTACTATATTAACTTAGAATCTCTGATGTGTAATCTCTAAAATATCTTTGAGTTATCTTTATATTTATATTGTTTACTTTATGTATTTTTATATTAAGAATAATTTTTGATGTTATTGTAAATCCTTACCTGTAATTTCTTAAGTAATTGTTTTAATTTTATTTATCTTTTTTGAGATTTTAATTAAAACTACAAAATTATCATAAAATTATTATATACAGTTTATGCTATATAATTGTTAGTATCAAGTAATTCTATTTTATATAGTTTTAGCTATAACCATTTTAAATTTAAAAAAAAGAAGAAATTTGATTAGCTTCATATAAGAACTATAGATATTAATATTAATATCAATATTGATAAGAATAACAATTATTTATATATAATTTTTTTAAAAAAAAAATAGAGAAAGAAGAACTATATGAATAAAAAAGTAAGTTTTTTTATCATTTTTTTATGTAATTATGTAAAAAAATAAAATAAAAAAATAATTATAATGATTACAATTGATAATAATGATAAATACTAATTAAATTAAAGAATTCTTTAAAAATCTATATTATAGTAATGAAAATTAATAATTTTAGCTAAAGGGATATCACTAATCAAAATTTTTCAAGATTCAACCTGATTTAACCTAAAATTAGTTTGAATAGAAAAAATAAAATAATTCAATTAAATAAGTAGGGCAATTTTGGGGGTTCTGAGGTCAAAATTATTACAAAGGTATCCAGAATGCTCCTAATCATAGGCCAGAAGCTCTTCTAGCTATATGAATTCATAATATAGAATTCAGGTCTAAAATTTACATCAGCGCTCAATTTCGTTATCAATCTCCTTGCTATAAAATTTGAGC